TGCTCATTGTCATTTTTAACCGGAATTCATTCTATTGTCTTTTGAGCCCCTCTTGCCAAAGCTTACCCTGGTGGTGGTAGTTCACACCCAGCAGATTCTCACAAAAAGTCGGATTCAAATTCAATGTCAAGATCGTAGCACCCTGTTTCAGTTATCTGTTTCTGAGTAACAAGTGACCCTAAGCATAGTAACTTAAAATAACTGCTATCATTTATTTGCTTATGATTATGCAACCGGGCGGTGCTTGGAGGGGATATCTTATTTCCGTTCCACGTGACATCAGCTGGGGTGGCTCGCCCAGAGCTGGGGAGTCCACTCCCCAGATGGTTCATCCACGTTACTGGCTGGTGGTTCCAGTTGTAGAGTGGGTGCTTAGCTGGGGCTTCGGTTCTTCTGCATGTGAGGGAACATCCAAGACCAAGCTCTCCAAGAGGACAAACTCCAGTGTGCAAGCGCATATCACGGGTTCCTTGTGCATCACACTCACTAATATCCCATTGGCTAAAGCAAGTCACATGACCAAGCCCAGAATCGGTGTGGGAAAGGACTGTCCTCTGCAGGGGCGTTAGTGCATGGCGGTGTGCTGCTTTGGGGGCCACGTGCCCCTTGGACCTCTAAAATTCTGTGATCCTGCGCTTGGTAACTGACTTGTTCCGTTTTATTTCTGAAACATCAGGGTGCCATGACTCTTTTCTTGTACACAGTTTAATATGGTCTAACATTCAATAAACACATATTAGGACCATGGAAAATAGTGTAGCATTTCCACTTTTAATGTTTCTGAACGGCCTATGAAGATTTAAGCTCTGTAGCTTACCCATGGCTATAATGACTGTGTTCCTAGTTAACGAAACACATGAACAAAAATCACCCTACAGGGTCAGATTTCTAAATCTGTCTTCCAAAGGAATTAAGTATTGTCTTTTCCTTTAGGCTACCAAAAGTTAGCTTTTCCTTTTGATTTTAAAATAGCAGAAAATTAGCCTCTTTAACACCTGCTTGGACTTCAAAGAATAAAAGTGGGTATTTATATGATAACCAGACAGTGCATTCCTTGGAAATTCCAAACCCACAGGTCTCTTGTTCCAAGCTTGTCCTAACGTTCCTAAGTGCGGTTGGAAGGAAGTGTGGCGCAGCTTGCCGTGCGTGTCCTGTGAGTCTTGACTTGCGGCTGATAACTTCGTTTCTTTTGCACACAGGGGTTCTCTATCTCCAGTACGGAGATGAAACCAAGCAGCTCAGGATGCCGAATGAAATCACAAGCGCAGACACAATCCGTGCTCTCTTCGTAAGTGCCTTTCCGCAGCAGCTCACCATGAAAATGCTGGAGTCGCCCAGTGTCGCCATTTACATCAAAGATGAAAGCAGAAATGTCTATTATGAATTAAATGATGTAAGGTAAGTCATTTTTTTTTTTGGTCCATCATATTGCATTTAGAGCTTTTTCGGGGGGTGAGGGGGGCATTCACTGTATTGCATTTAGAGGGGTTTTTTTGGTCCACCATATTGTTTTGCT